TAGCTGACAGGAAAGCTGGTTCTCATGGCTCTATCCACAGGATAGGGTGGGTGCATTTCCCAGTGTGGCCCACAGTCCTGGTCTCTTGGTGCGCATCTGGTTACTTTCTCACTGGGTTTCAGGTTAAAACACTGGGGAGCAACCTCACCTTCCTTTGGAGGGAAGCTAGGGCATACAAGCAAGGTACATTTCAGTAGGTTCCCCATCCTCAAGGAGGGAACAACTAGTGCTGTAATGTGTGAATCTGCTCCAGAGACTAGTTAGAACTATTATATCCCTTTTTTTTTTTTTTAACATTATATATACTTTACATTGACCGAAGGTCAAAAACATTTATATCAAGAAGGTGCATTCCACAAGCAACATGGAAATGGCATGCTATGCAACACGTCAGATGATTGTCAGTGAAAGGAAGGAAACATAGGAGAGCTTTGTATGCCTTTGTGACTTGCCTTCCAGCCTGCTCTGTTCCACAGGTTGCATGGAAAACTCACGGGACATCAGAACTGTACATAATTGCAATTAATTAAGTGGCTCAATGGCAAAAGATTCCAACCCCTGTACTATTATTTTAAAAAGGAACAGGGGCTTTTAGGAAAATAAATAAATAAATAAATAAATAAATAAAAATAAAAATAAATAAAAATAAAAATAAAAATAATAATAATAAAAATAAATAAAAATAAGCACACTTAGATGCTGCCCTGCTTAAAATCTGGCCTGTGCACTCTGACTTGAGTGGTGAGTTTGGAAAGTGCCATTAAGGAGGTCATATTGTAAATTCTAACCTGTCTGGTAGAAAATAGGCTTAAATCATTTTCCCTGGCCCATGCCTGGGCTGCTGTGCTATGAGTCATGAAGCCATTCTCTCTTTCCCTTTCACACCTGGATACCTTGCACACTGGTGGTTAGACCACTTGGAGGTGCAAAACTGGTTCAAATACTACCAGGTGGTGTGATGTCTTCACCAGGAAGCTCCTGTGGCTAGCCAGATGCATACGCTTGCAGCAGAGCATGACTCAGTGAACGAGGATGACCTTTTCTGAAGTTCTGCAAATGCTGTCTTATACTTTTTTACCTTTTACTGCAGGCATCTTCAAATATACACTTTTAATTTACTGAACAAATTATAACATACTAAACACAAACCTGTGAGAGCAGTCAAACACTGAAACAAGTTGCTCAGGGAGGTTGTGGAGCCTCCATCCTTGGAAATACTCAAAATCCAACTGTACACAGTCCTTGTTAACCTCCTTTAGCTGCCCCTGCTTGAGTGGAAGAGCTGGACTAGATAAACTCCAGAGGTGCATTCCAGCCACAAATATTCTGTGATTCTACAATCTGGGGGGAATTTTTTTTATATATATTTTTGTGTGAGCAAAAAGCACTAGACAAAAATGAAAATATTTTGGATCTGACTGATGAAATATATTTATTGTTTTAGCCATGGAATTGCAAATTCAATTACCGTCTTAATTCCATTTACTGAACCCTGCTAAATTCAGACCTTATTTTGACTATGTTGAGGTACAACAGTATTGATGGATGTGTGTGGTACCACTGTGACTGGGATGTGAAATCATCTGTTTTCTCCTCACATGCAGAGGCATTGCAGCAATGATTAATAATGTATTTTTCCTTCAGCATCTATTTACAGAGGTCTTCATTTGCAACACACGATTTCTTTTTTTTTTCTTTTTTTTTTTTTTTTAATTTTCATTATGGTGAAGTCCTTTATAAGTGATATTTACGGAGCAAAATAGGTGCAGATTTTCCTGAGATGTGTAGATGAGCTAATTCCACATATTATCAACCTGGCTTCAAGAAATCTGAGAAACAGAGGTCTTCCAACTGAGATTTATTGAATTTTCTTAAAGCCTTGAATTGTTTTCCCTTAAAGCATTTACTTCAGTAGATCTTTATCAATTTACCTGTGCATACATGAAGATCCGTATGCAATGACACATGTTTACAACAATTTGCTGAAAGTCTCCATATCTAAGGTTATCTTTGCATATTCATGAATACACCTAGGGGCTGAAATATCTTTTCTGAATGACAGATTTTGCCCTAATGATATACAGTATACCATTCAAAAAAAGTAATGACATTTGGATTGGACAGTCATTTCTGAAACATGGTTTCATGGTTCTTCAAAGTGTTCTTGACATTTTTAATCACAACAACCACTATTTTATTGTGGTGAAACAAATGATAAAGTTTTAGATAATCTTTCATGAGATGTATCAATGAGAAGATTGGAAATTCCTCAAACTCTTGCACTTTCTTCTTTCAATTGATCATTGCCATTTTTTTTTTATTCGAGATCCTCCAGACACTGGAAAAATCATAATGTTAGGTAAAGTTACTAAATAAACATTGGGAATAGACAGCACGGTGTTGAAATACAGGATTCTATTATTAAAAATATATTCCCATGTTTTATTTATATAGGTTTATGATTTATTCATGGCAAAAACCTTTAAAAGATGTGAAAGTGGTTTATTATGCTGATTTGTATACATTAGGCAAATTCACCATTCATTTTCTCGTTTAATATGGAACACAATCTATTTAAACATATTGCAGTGGAGTAGTATGTACATAAGCAGCAAGGAAGTTCATTTATTGATTTACAAATTTGCTGAATATATCAGTTCTTGCATCAGGGTTTTTCTCTCATACAGAGAGCTACATCAACCAAAGTGAGAATTACTAAATGAATACAAAATGAATTTGTGTATTTATCAACTATGCATATATGATCAGATTGTCTATACAGTTAAACCAATAAAATCAAATCATTCTTATCAATGTAGTTTATTCCCATGGTACACATAGAACTACCTTAGACAGGATGTATTTATTCCCTCTGCAGATGTCATGCAGTGGTTCGTTGTAAAGTGTTTGTGCAAAAGAATCAATTGTTCAGTTCAAGCAGTTAAACCTAACCAACAAAGACTGGTTATAATCTTTCTCTTAAGCTCTGATTCATATTCTGAACTTCTGAATAAAAATAATGCCAGTCTCTTGAAAAGATTAAGCTCTTTAAATTATTGTTATTATTAGCAGTAGTAGTTGTAAATGAATTATGGCATGCCCTTTATTCATTAGACACCTGTAACAATGAGTACACATTCATAGTGGCCACAGCTTGGCAAAGCTGGTTAAGCAAGTATGTGCTTAACTTTCTGCTAGTGTTCAAATTAATGCAACTTAAAATATAACTGATTTAAAACAAGCTGTGATATGAGCTTTGCTCTGCTTTTGATGCCCAGACACAGGCCAGCCATACCATCAGCAGTCAACAGGTATGGACTTTCCAGTGTAAGAATTTTCCAGTGTCTGCTGTCAGATAAAGTGATGCTAAAGGAATGAAAATGAGGAAAACTTCTCACCTTGGCTACTTCCTTTTCCTGGGACATCACTTCCAAAAAAGCAATGCTCTGATATTTGAGCCAAAGAAGAGGGGAAAAGAAAAAAGAAAAAAAAAAAGAAAAAAAAAAAAACAAGCAAACAAACAGTTGTGGGGTTTGTCATATTCATATTCAAAGTTATTTAATAAGTTCCTATGGTGAAGAAGGGAAAAATGACTCCTAAGACTAAAATGATAAATAAATAACCCTGATATATACATTTTCTTTCATTCCAATTCATCCCAATGTGCTCTGTAAATTGAAATAGTCTGACATTTATATTAAGCTGGAAGGGTCATTGGATTCAGTTCTGCAGAGCAAGACATCAGAGTTTAGAGTCCCACTGATCATTTGTGCCTCTCAAGAACAGGCTTTGGATGAATTAGCACTACTATTAATCATAATAATACATCTATGTCCTGGTTCTAAGATTCTTGAGATGTTTTCCAGAAACTGCAAACTGGCATGATACTAGCCAAAAAAACATTAAAGCATAGGTCTGAAGTCTCCAGTGAATCCTTCAGAAACTGCATAGCTCTCACAGCATAATATTTCTGACAGGAAATATACACTTGAGATGTTTTAAGCTTGAAATGTCACATACACAATGGAGCTTAAGCCTGAGAACAGCTTCCCCTGTTTCCAAGATCATAACACTAATATTATAATTGAGAGGATAAAATGCCACTTCCTTGCTTCCCATACCCCTCTCCAAATGAAATGTGAGTCACTTCATGAATTTTATCTATGGCAAAGCCTAATGGAATAATTCCAGCCTGTCCTGGACAACCTTGCTGCCCAATTCCCTCACATACACACTCACACACGTTATTTCTGCTAGCTTGGGTTTCATATCCGCCTCTGCCCAATCGTTTGTGGCAGGCTCTAGTGGTAAAGCAAATGCTCTGCTGCTGTTTTTCCCCTTAGAATTACAGATCGCTGAAGAAGTAGCTTAAAACATTTCCACTTGAGAAAAATGTGATGAAATTGCTAAAGGTTCAGCAGTCTTGAAACACTAGCAGGCTATTGACACCAGGATTATTCCCAGACATGATCTTTCCTTTGGAACCTGCAGTTGAAGTTTGCAGTATTTGTACGTTTCATGCCTCCTCTGTGTAGCCTGTCTCTCTGGCTGATTTTCTTCCTTTCTTTATCTGAAGCTGGCATTTTTTCCACTCTCAATAATTAAGCTGTCTAGTTGTTAGAGACATGTCTATTTTATCACATGTATGTCTCGTACACAGTTGAAAAAGGAGATCTCCAAGGGAGAAGAAGGCTGGCGTCTCTGCTGTTGAAACGGTTTCAATCTGGCCTGAATACTTTGCCTGCAGTGCTGCAACCCACAAGGGGGTCTTAACCTCTGAAACCTGCTGACTCAAGAGTAATTGGCCAGCATGATGCCACTGTGACCATCAAGTGGAACAAATAAAATTACCCACCATTTCAGTGCCGTGATTGTCTTCTACCACTGCATGATTCCATGAATACCCTGGAGGACTGACCTGCTTATAATAAACAAATTGTTTTCTGGGCTCCTTTTCCATTGCCTGTAGGGGAGTTACAAGAAGACAGAACCAAGCTGTGTTAACTATATTTAGTGATTTTTTATTTTTTTTTAAATTGCATCAGATGGTTCAGATGACTAGATACAGTATGATCTTTTAAAATTATATCCTCAAGAAGCAAACAATTAGAGAGAACGGCATCTCCACAAGGAAACTCAAGTTTACACAGCAATAGAAAGTTATAAATTCAAAGAATTCAAGAGGATTACACATATCCAAGCTGGACGACTTAATTCATTTTCCTGGGCAAGACAGCTTAAAAGCAGGGATTCTCTTACTCTATACACAATTTTGTAATTTGTTTGCATAAAAGCAAGCTGTTTACACTCCAGGACATTGCTATATAAAGGTCGTTGCCAAAACTTGCTGTCTCCTATAACAGTATAAAACCAGAATTTCTCCCATGATGGCTGTGGGTTTATTCAGATACACACCAGTGTAACTGAGAACTAAAGTTGGCTTTCAATCCCTGTCTAAAAGAAGCTCAGTAATGAATAGAGGGGGAGAACTGGGGTGAGGGTGGGGTAGAGGGGAATGAGTCAGTTCTTGTTCTCGTGCTTTTCCTCCTTTGTGACCAGATAACAGCACCCCCAATATTGGGATTCATGCAGAGGAGATAATATGACCTAGTAAACACATCAGCTGCACTAAGAGCGTGAAACTTTAATTTAGTGTTTTCAGTAACAGCTGATAATGGCCCTGATGTGGCCACAATTGACTGCAAACATGCAGATTTAGTCCCAGTCCCATAAAGTTTTGTACTAACACTGTATGAAATTGCAGTTGTTTCAAGTTTCCCGTCTTCATTTGAAAAAGAGCAAAACTTGGAGAGTATGTGAACTGTTGTTTTGGGAAAGCAAATAGAGGATCCCAATGAGTTTTGCAGAATCAAATCATGTTAAAGAATAAATAGACCAGATTAAGATGTATAGCAAGTTACCTTGCCTTGAATAACAGCAACAATTTTAGATAACTGTCAGCATATATCTGAAAACATACTGCTGTTTGTTGCCAGATATTTCATTTAGAACCCATTCACTTAAATCATGTCCATAAATGTAGGCAGACCATTAAACACATTGTTGAAAGAAGGCTTGAAAAGACAAGGAAAATGTATACTTTTATTTTTCCCTTGCATTCTTTCAGTTGTTATGTATGATTACCTATATCACTGCTAGATCCACTTCACTTGGCTTGTTAAGATATTTTGAGTGATATTTTACATATATTTTCAGCTTTCTTTCTAAGATTTGAAACCAACACATTAACAATGCTTAAAGAATGAGCAAGAGTGCTTATCTGGTTCTTCCAATCCAAAGTAAGGTCTCAGCCTGAACAGACCATGTCATCCGGAACAGTTCTTGTAAATTAGAAGGAGTCTGACCCGTTTCAAATTTAGCATGCATCCATTTAGCGTTTGTTTTATTTCCAGCAGATATGGGGTACAGCAAACCTACAATGATTGTACCATACACAAATCTTTGCCTTGTCTACATATAAGTTTCTTTCTTCCTTCCCTCCCCTTTCACCGCTCCAGCCTTTGTATGTTAAGCAAGAGAGAGAATAAGAAAAGAGAGACTCATATTTGAGACCATAAATCTTTCAGGATGAAAAGGACAGTCAACAAAACTACAGTTAAGCAGTATAACAGACAGATAAATCATGGGATACAAGAATTCCCTTTTATAGATAAACCCACAGAAAACAGGTCTCCATGACTGTGAGGCCTGTGAATTTTACTGGAACACTCATCAGAGTTTGAATGATAGAGCACCTTATGGAAAAGATTTGAGACCTCAGGACTAGTATCCACCTCAGTACAACAAGGAAAATTGTCCAGTGCCCAGGCATCTCTAACTGATCATACTATGTTGCAACCTATCAGGCTAAGCTCCCATGTGTGAGAAATTTTCCAAATATTTTCATAGCCAGCAGGCAGATCATGCACTAACCTTTGCCATAACATACACCCAATATGTGGATTGTATGCTACATACATGGGTCTTTTGCAAGTCACAGAGCTTCTCTCCCTCTCTGCTCCAGAGGGTCTGAAGGGCTGTGACCTGTCCCAGAAGCCACAAAACCCTCTGACAATATAGAACATGTATATGCATACGTATATACCAATGTGTATACACCTCCTCCCCACTCAGCCCTGGAAGCAGATCATGAAACTGGAGAAGAAGATCTATTTTATTTGCTCAGAGGCCATCATGGGGCAGGAATGGTATTATCTGAGTATCCTTAAACAGGCAGCTTTTTCCCTTTCTTCTCTGGAAGTTGGTTGTATACTTTGAGTCTCTCAATGAACTTTGCTGACCATTTGAAAAGTCTTAAGTAAGCTACTGAGGAAGGAGACATTTGAGCAGCAACAGATCAAGGACACCAGCTCCTGCACACTTTTCCTCAGGGAACCAGGATCTCCAAGACCAGCCAGCACCCGGAACCTTCAGAGCAGGCTGCTGGGAGAAGTCATACTGAACAGAGGCAGTTTTGCTGAAATCTGGGAGAGAAGACATTTGCACAGTTGGTTATAATGCTTTTGGAAATATGGAAGATTGTACGCCTTACTAGGAAGAGAGAGAAAACAGATCACAAACATGAAGAGTAATCGCTGGCAGATAACTCTGCTTCTCTGTGAAACATAATCCCCAAATACTCTGGCAAGAAGATAGATCATTATACCATAATGATGAGCATTAGTCTCAGGTCTCAGTTTTTCAAAGAAACTACGTTTAAAAATAGACTTCCTAAACCTTAGGGCCTGGAAGCTTGTGCAGACATTAAGACTTGTCTGCAGCTCCTTGCTTTACTCCTACATTTTCCCGTCTGCAAACAACTGCTGTGAAAGTCTGCATAACATAGACCTGGACTTTATAGTTCTCAGTGAGGCAACGTGTCACCTATATTTATACTACTGTGATCTTATTAAAGAAGGAAATCCTGTCAGTAGTAATCTCAAATTCCTTCAGTTAACATAAATTAAAGCTCTTCACTTCTTTCTTGCAAAAGGATTTTTTTGTTTTACCTTAATGTGCATACATGTGCCTATTAGTACATACTTTTTTTAAGTTTCTGTTGTGTTTTTCAGTGAAATCCTAATGGCAACTGACCACAGAAATTCTCTAAATGTTGGTTAGTAGCTACAGAGACATAAACTCACAAAAGCCTTGACTAACTCTTGCTGATAAACATATCCTTGATGTAATTATTGGCTTAAGTCAGAGGAAGTGTAGTTTTCTGGCTGTAGCAAGCAAATGGAATCTGGAAGCTGTGTGGGTCTATTTGTGGCCCTGTTACAGGGGGTCTTTGTGAACTTGGCTAATGTAATTGTAAACTTTCTGAGCCTATGTATCCCTCTCAGTGAGATGATGATACTATTTCTACTCACTCTAGCTTTTCTAAGAAACTTTTTTCTGAGCCCCCAGTCATGAAGATGGGCACTGCAGTTCCAGGTAGAGATCATGTTAGGAGACCATGATGTTTCTCCATGTTAGACAGCCATGATCAATGATATGATCAATGATATTATACAGTGCAAATCTAACAAAACATTTTCAGTTTTTCATACTTTGCTGTATCTCATACTGAACTCATTTTGGCTTTAAGGTCAATGGTGTTTATTATATTTTTGTAAGACAGTCAAAGCAGTAGTAATAATGAATACATGGATTGTGCTCTAACAGACTAACAGACTATTAGAGATTCTCAGAGATTTATTTTTTTTTTTTTCAAATACAGTTAAGTTTCCTTTATTAAAAATGGAAAAGGTTTATACTTTCTTTGGAGATACTGTGAAGCAGGCTCTAAGATAAAGAAGTCAAATGACAAGGATTTCTTGTACAGATTTCATGGTCATAAAACATAAAGTGGTTACAGAAGCTGCAGCTGAACAAAAGGCCTTTTTATATTTTTATCCTTTCTGAATAGTTCTTATAACTCTATAGCAAACTTAAGACCAACAGAAAAGGACTGGAAGTCATGATGATTAATGTGACAAGGGAATGAGGAGGTCAAACAAAGGCATTGCTATTGTCCATAGTCCTCGTCACAGCAGGTGATTTGTAAGGTTAAATCCATTACAGAGAAAAGCAAAACACAAAAATTGAAAATGCCATGCCAGTACAACTTGTGGGAAGAGGGCAGTGGTTTTTGATGCCAGATCAGCACATGGGTTTGATGGTGTGTGAGGAGCAGAAGCCACACAAGCACCTGGAAGCTGTTATTACTGCACCCATTCACCTGTTTCTAGCCATGGCCAGTCTTCAAAGGAATGCAAACAAATAAACAACCTAGAGGCCAAGGTATACATCAAGGCAGTCAAGGAAGTGGGAATTCCTTCCTGGCCAGTATAAATATAGTATAAAACAAATGATCAACAAACAGAAATCACACAACCCCTTGGAAATACCAATAAATCACCTACTTCCGAGCTTTCACTTTTCAGTCCTGAACTGTCTCTTCTCTAAACATGAAAAACTCTACTCTTAGCAATGTTTTAGTCTTTTCTACTCACCACCTGTCTGGAAGGCCATTCCAGGACATTGTTCCCAAAACACTCAGAATCCTCTGAAATCCAATCTCCAAGCTATGGCTGCAACAGTGGGCAGCAATGCAGCTCCTGTCTGGAATAAAAATAGTAGATAATTCATACTATTTGTCCAGCATGTTGAAACTAGAAGATAAAGGTAGGTCAAGAGCTCACCACCCTCCTTGTGGCCTTTGTCTCCTTTGCAGCATTCATACCTAGAGCCACTCAGCACATGGGAGAAATGCTGCCAGGTAAATACAAAAACCTTGATTGAAGTGGTTGTGGCCTTTTGCACCTGCATAAATTTCAACTCCTATCTTGAATTGGTTCAGAAAATAGCCCAGACAGTACTCATTTCAGCCTCAGTGCACTCCTGAGAGTTGTGTGAGTGAGACTGCTTTACATCTTCCACTCTAAGCAGTTGTGAAGCCACCCCAGGTGATATGCACAAGTGTTCTGTCATTGTTATGAGGGTCAGTGTTAAGTCCATCTCATATCCATGCAATTTTTCTCACAGGACCTGCATTTCTTATGTGTTTGTTTGTTTTATTTTGTTGGGTGGGTGGGTTTTTTTGCTTGATTTGTTTTGTTTTGTTTTTCCCACCCCGTAATTTATCTTTGAGTTGTAAATGCTTTAGTGTGGAAGTAGTGATACTGTAGCAGAACTTCTGTTATCACAAGGTTTTGTTGATAGCAGCAGTTCTTGACTAATAACACTTAAGTGAAACACTGATATACAGCCGCTGTGATTACAAACCTGGGATAATATACGTGCTATCATTTAAAAAAAAATACCATTGCAGAAAAAAGGATAGACTAGAGAAACTGTTAAACAAAAATTCTCATCTCACTTTAATCACAAGGAGATTCTTGAAGTATTTCTGAATGACTAAAGAACCACAAAATATTTAACGAAAAGAATTATATTGGACAGACAATGCAGAGTATGAAAAAAATGTTGTGCCTTTACATTGAAGAAAACAAGTATAAAACCAAGTACTTCATCCTCTGTATGCATTTTTTAACAAAACCAGGACAAAACACATTCTGACTGGAGGCTATATTTTGGGTTGCTGGGTCTAGCAGATGCAACATGGTATATCAGAGAGCATTCCCTAGATACCATAAACAAAGTTTAATTATGAATTATGTATGCTTCTGGTCAGCCAATGAATGACAGTGCCTGACCTGCTGAGGATCTGGGATCTGCTACTTAATAGTACCCAGTAATGGAGTGAAAATCTTTTGGGGCATATAAAAAGGTGGGCCCAAGCCATGAAGGTATTAAAATACCATTTTAGACATTAAATAAATACATATTATGAGAACAAAGAGAGGGAGGTGGTGAGAGGTGATCAGTTATTCATCTCTATTATTAGCATTCCACCAGCTACTAGGAAGAAAATTAATTCTGTTCTAACTGAAACCAAGACACATATCTTGTGAATTCAGCTATGGAGTTTTACATCTTGCATCTATGCAAATTGTTATATTCATAATATATATATACATGCTAAGAACTGTTAATTCATTGTTATGAATGTATATCAATCATATTTGCAATCAGCAGTATTATGAGCTTCACAAAATGCACTGATAGGCTTTTGGCTTACATATGAGACCAAACAAACATGAAGATTTTAGAGGCTCTCTCTGCTTATTTTAAATGCTATAAAACATACTTTACAGAATAGAAAGTGGCTTCAGTAACTGAAATAAAAGGCCTCTCTAGATTTTGATCCGTTCATTCTGGTGCACTTGTTTCAATAGATATAGCCCTTCCCCTGCGAGAAACACAGTCCAATTTCTTTCACATTCTCTAGACAATAAACTAATAAACCAAAATAAAGCCCGAAACTGCAATGTGATGAGAGCCTTCTGGGAGTGTAAGTGGCCTCCACCTCCTTTGTCTTACAGGACTGGGTACTTCACATAGCAGCAAGACAGATGGAAACAATGTCACTGGAGGCAATTCACACCTTTCATCAGAGAGGGGAGAAAAGAGAACATCTACACTATTTTCACAAGGATGATCTGAAAAGTGCTTTCCCATGAGTAGGAAGGATCCTCAGAGCCTTACTTTGAAACACTCATGTTGCTTACTGTGAAGTATATCTTGAAATTCGACGGCAAAAAATAGAGTTATTCTTACTCAGTCATTTATGGCTGAAATTTTCACTGTAGTTGCTTGACTGTGGTGGAAACCCCAGGACAGATGTGCATTTGAGATTAACCTATTCTGTTTTGTTGCCTTAGAGGACACTGCTAAAATATTACCTTGCTACAATAAAAAACATAGATATGGGAAAGTCATCTAGTCCCCCTCACTAACAGTGCAGACTTACCCTCTGCAGAGTGTTCCCTAGTGCTTTGTCCAGTCTATTTTTAAATGGCCTAAGTGATGAGAATTTCTGCAGAGGAGAGTTCACAGGCAGCCCTCTCTCTCAAACAAAGCTCTGAATAGATAAAGAATAATAACAATAATTTTATCAAGCTTTCTCTCTTTCACCCACCAAAGTGCTTAGGGTGCTAAGTAGTCATCATAAAACAAGTTCTCATTCCAACCAAGACCAGCAATGTTAAAAAGAGATCAGTAAAGAAAAAATAACAATAAAAAAAAAAAAGACAGGGGAGTACAAGGGCCCTAACAGATGTGCAGCTCAGGAGCAAAAGGGTCTTACAGTAAGGATTGTTGAAGCAAACCTTCTCAGCAGAATTCATAACTGTTCGAGCTCTAGGGCCAAATACAGGGAAGTTTTCATAGTGCTTAACTGTCAGTGCCCAGCAGGATATTCAACAATCTTCAAGCATTCTTAGTATTTCACATATCCAGACCTACAATGATGGAAACTGAAGACCATATTTCTGAGCAAAGCTCTTGAGGTAACAGAAAAAAAAATAGAGAGATATCATTTTGATTTGTTCATTTGCATCAAACCCAACAGGTGAGTGCTACAATTTTAAGCACATTGTAAATCTTCTTTCTGTATCTGCTAAATTCTTTCTGACCGGTAGTTGCAGCAATTTGTCAGGTAATACCAAAAGTGAAGAATAGAATAAAAAGCTTTACTATCTTTAAACTCAAACAAATGCCTTTAGGAAAAAACAAGAACCAAAACCTAAGTCGAGTGCCTGTCTTTTCCATCCACGTTTGTCAATGCTAAAGCCCTACCGGTTGCTACTTGTACCAGAAGACTATTGCAACTTCTGTAGGGGGAAGGAAAAAAAGAAAAGAAAAGAAAAAAAAAAAAAAAGTGTTATATTTCTTTTTGACAGAACCATTAAGGAACTCTGTAATGTTTCAATCTGTGGTCAGTGTTCTGTTTTGCTTGGCTCGCTAAACCCTCAGCCTCAGCTGGCATTTCCTAAATTAACAGCACATTCACTCCCCACATTAAGACAGTCAGACAAATGGTTCAGCCTAAACTAAGCAGTTTGACACTCATGTGCTTCAGCAAAGCTGAACAGCATCTCATGACGCTTACATGATTGGATGATATCATAATCATATGATAAAAAGCCATTAGGCCAGGACCAAAACCTAAAACATAGGTCATTATGTTAGATGTAAAAAAGTGTACCCATTTAATAGAATTAAAGAAACAAAAAAGAGTTCTGACACCAGGGAACATCTGGCTAATATTTACATCTCCTGTTTAATTTGGATGCTTCAGTTTAGTTTTCAAGATGGCAGTGTATAGAAACAAATTAAGCCAATCACTCTATCTGCAGTTTAAAAAACCAAGATTTGTTTATAGTTTCTCATATTAATACCTCATCCACTTGGCCAAAATGCCTCGTGAAAAATATACCTCAAACACACAATTCCTCTTTAGTAACAAAGCTGTAATTCAGCATAATTCTTTGTTGATGGGATGAAAAAGGGAGTCATGTAAACTTGGAGTATTGAGATGAAGAGATAAAGTTGGGCCATAGGAAGCGAAACAGTCTTCAGTGCTGTAGGGTTAAACCAAAGCCCATTAAGAAAGTCAACAGAATTAGCATTTTGGGCCCCATCCTACTTTCCTTTAAATCAATGGGACTTTGTCACTGACACCAGCCAAAGCACAATCACAGGCATGTTCAGTGTTAAACTAACATGAGCTGAATGCAAGCTTGCTGGATGAGCCCTGTGATTGTGAACTTGCAAGTTTAACTCTGTGATGAATTTGATACAGTGCTCATTTCCAAGAGCACTGAAACGCATGAAGCAATTCAGCGATGCATATATAGAACTTCATAAAATATTATCTCTAAAAGAAAAACTGGCCAAGTGACAATATTCTTATGTCATAGGTAATTAGGTAAGCTCCAGAACATTTAGGTTAATAAAATGAGATACTGATTTCAAAATGCTAGAGAGAATATAAAGCCTGAAGTCATAACTTTTAGTTACAAACCCAGAGGGACAGACAGGGAAATCTCTTCATCAGGCTTCCCTGTTTCTGAACATACAAAGGATCTACCAGGCCAAAATCTATTCCGTATTACTGAGTATAATTGGCAGATATAAATAACAGTATTAGCATCAGTGAATCACAGTATCCAAACTCCAGGTCTAGCTAAACAGTCCCAGTGTTTGGGCTGTTTCTAGTCTGCTATTTCTAGAGGCAGAAGAAAAACTCATATAGGCTCATTGAATCTTTCCCATGTCTACCTAGACTGTCATGACTAAAACACAATGCAGACAAAAAATAACAGTAAACCTGTGAGCTTTATGTTAGCAAGCAATACATCATTGGCTGCAAGGATCTTAGGAGTGGAAGCAAACTAGCAGTTATTCTGAGTGCTAGACATATGCCTCAGCAGAAAACAGCAATGTAAGTCTTGTCTCAGGTTTGTATTGCCCAGCAAGCTGGGTTCTTGGGTGAGAAAGCCTGAAGGGAGCCCTGTGCATTTACAACCTCCACAAGTGGCTGCATTTCCAGTCCACAAAACAAGGAGTTTCTGGGCTGGGCAGGTCGGGAGGGGGGGGGGGGGGGGGGGGGGAAGCATTGGAAATTATGTCCCTTCTGTACCAACTCTTCCAATAACTGAAATGCTACTGCCAGCTTTCCAGAGGCTATGGCAAAGCCAGGGCAGCAGTGACAGAAG